TAATAGATTTTCATTTAATATTTTATTTTTACCACTTGGGTAAATTAATGTATTTCTGTATAGCCCAGTTTTAAATGTCAGAATTTGTAAAATGATTTATACAGGTAGTTTACAGAATTTGTCTTTTATATTAGAAAAAGAAGGTCTTAACTATTAAATGTTAAAAGAAATTAAGAATAAAAGTGATTCTACCCAACTGTTGTAATGTATCTTTGAGAACATGAAAGGGTTCCGTTTGAGTACTTAGATAAAATGCTTTCATGGTGTTAATTTTATCACTGACAGCCATTTGTCCTTTAGGAATACATTCCTGAAAGCTGTTATAAAGAACCACGCTTTCACTAACATGGATTGACAAGGACTGTCATGAAGGAACTGGTTAAGTTTGATAGGGAACATGTAGGCTGACTACAGGTGAGCACTTTTCTTTGGAGGTCCAGGCTAGGTATCTCGGAACCATCAACGAGAAAGGATAGGTCCTGGTGAATAGCTTTAAAATAAGCATCAACCTCTGATGGTATGCATTCCTAAATCATCTTTATTTGATTTTGAACTGCAGTTTTATATATAATATGCTTTATTTGTTAGTAGGAGAGATAGATGTTCTAAAGATTCCCATGAACAGACAAACCTACCTATAAACATAGGTTCTGAGATTTAGTCTTTAAGCACTTACCTTTAACACTTCCTTCTCTCTCTCTAGGAGGGGCTATCTGTAGGCAGCCTTTGTGATTGAGGATAGAGCAGCAGCAGGAAGCAAGAAATATTAGAAATCAAGAATCCTGAATTCCCAAATAAGGAAGGTTTCCTGTTCTTACATTTAAATATGGGTTTGTCTGAGCTGGGAATTTGCAACGCGACAGAATACTAGGGTATGTTTTACTGAAATCATTAGGAAGATTATTTTTTTCTATCAAAATTGCCTCCTTAACTGATATAACCTTAGTACAGAGCATTCACAGTAAAATATATGCTCTGTTTTTTAATATACATTACATTGTAAAGCAGTGATCAAATTCTATTAATTTTGTAGCTGTATCACAAAGTCAGATGGTGATAATGGACTGCTTAGATTATGAAACTAACTAAATTAGGTACTTTAAAAGTTATTGAAATGAAAGTCATATTGATTTAAATAGGTGAATAATTGAAGGGTATTTTTGTTGTATATGAGGAATCAAAATGACGAATAATCAAGGGATATTTATTTTTGTTGTATATAAGGAAAACCGAAAATTTGGGATAATTTTCTTCAAAACCAAAATCACATTTTTAAGCAGAATAAGTCTATTAGTTAAAAATTTTCTACCTTAGTTTTAAATGTGAATTTTTAAAACCCCCCAACTTAAAACTAGTTATGTTAGTGATACAGACTCTGAAAACTAAGATTAAAATATCTTTGAGATTTTCTGAATGGATGTCTGCTGGATATAAGGGTGTAGTACCCTTGAGAATGCCTTAAAATTAGACCAATGCAAACTACTTTTGAAAACCTATTTGTAAAACTTTTCTGTTAAAGCTGTTTGATCATCACATTGTGCGTAATTTTATGCTTTAGTACCTATTAATGATGTTGTCTTTGAACTTTGGCATGTGTTAAAGTAGCCTTATACTTTTCTTGCAGTATGCATTAACAAAAAAATTAAAGATCCACTTAATTTTTTTAAATCTCTTTTGATTTTTTTCATTAAATTATTCTTTAGTCACTCTTAATTTATTGAAGTATGCTATGAAGACTTAACTCAGGGTAACTGAATTTCTTTTCTGTTTCCCCTTTGAAGTGTTTTGCTAAACTGTTTTAAGGTCAGAAATGGGTATTATCATTTCTCAGTCACCATAGCCAAGATATTTTGTCTACTGTAGGTAGCTTGTTTTCTGACCTGTGCTTTCTTTAATTGGGGAGGATAACTTGGTTTTAAGAAATTTTTCTGATGGCTGAGCCTGAGCCAAAGAAGATCCATTAACTTATTTTCTAGCGTAACTAGATTGTCTTTAGGAAGTGTAGGTATATACAGATTATGATAATATATAGCAGTGGTTTTCCCACTACTACTTTTCCTGTTTTCTTTCTTTTTCTTTTTATAATAGCAGTGGAACCCTTTCTTCAAATGAGACCTTAGACAAATCCATAGCAGTTATGCTTAAGGAAAAAAGAACAAAAACAAAATCTTACTCAGAACCACATTATTTGATCAAAATAGAATGGCTCCTGTTAAAACCTTGTCAGTTTGAACATTGTAAAGGAAATAGTGCCATTTAGCTGGTGTCAGCAGAAGAAATTTAATAAGAAAATGGGATTGTATAATTTCAGTGTTTTTGAAAGATGCATCTGATATAAATTTCTTGAACACAGTGGCTTTCTTTGGATCTTAGTAAGTGTTACAAATTGAAATAGATGTAATTAATGAAATACTTTTAATTTCCATGTATGTCATGAACTTTGCAAATTCCAACAAAAAATCGTTAAGAACTCGTCTCTCACATGTATATATACATCATATTGTGGGTTATCTTTTTGTTAATGAACCCAGCTTTTTTCTTGTTCGTACAGTGAAGCTAGTTGATGTTTAGAAGACTTTATATGCCACAGTCTCTTCTACGATTATTAATTCCCATAAAAACTTAAGAGAGATGTTCTTTTATTATCTCCATTTGCACAAATGAGGTGACTGAGACTCAAAAAGGCAATATCACTTGCTCAAGGTTACACACAAGGATTGATACGAAAGTAGACAGTAAATCCAGAGCTGGTACACATTTATCTTAATCATTTTTTAAAAGACATCGAAGTAAATAAATTTTGATTTATTATTTTATCTTTTTATGAATATTTATCTAAACTTACCTTTAAAATAGAAATAAAAATGTATGTTGAAACTTTGGTAAAAATAGAAGTATTTGAAAGTTTTACTTTTAAATATTCTCTTGAATTATAACTATATTAATATAATCTCTAGTCTAAGAAATTTCAAACAGTAAATGCTAATGTGGTAAACATCACATAGTTATGATGTTGAGTTCTTTGAACTAGAATTGCTACTTGCAGTACATTATTAGAAAGATGTGGACAGCTTTGTCGCTACTTGTAGCAAAGCTGCTTAAGGTCAGGTTTTCTGTAGATAAAGTAATAGCAACCAATACTAAATCCATAGTACTTGAAAGTAAGCTGAGCTGGCTTCTACTAGTCTGAACCAGTTTAACATAGTAAGGTCACATTTCCTAATACGGATGTGGTAAAGCATTTTATCAAGGCCTACTTACTTAACAGGAAAAGAAAAATCACTTTTTAGCAGAGTAGTAAAAAGTACCTCAATTTATATTTTAGCTGCTTGCAAAGTGACTCACAAGCTTTGTGAAAATGTATTGTGTGATCGAGGGCCACACACAGTCTGATCTACCTCAACTTGTATAAGCATATCTTATATGCTTATAAGCATATCTTAAGTTCAGAAAGGCAAAAATCACAATATTTTTTCACTAGGGAATATAAGATAATTTATGAAAATTCGATTACTATCTTGTGGTCTTTTAGAGTATTGGTATTAAATTGTTAAAATCCTATTTTACTTTTATAACTATAGGTATTGATAATATCACCTTTTGGTATTTTCTTCATAGGCTACAGAATCTTCCCTCCTACCCTAGTAGACAATATACTCCATCTTAAATTATTTAAATAATATAAATCAAATATTTATATAGTATTATCAGAGAAACAATTATAGTTGATGCACATTAATTTTGAAAGTACAAGAAGTATATTTATATCAAAATAAAGTTGATTAAGAATCACAGGGTGATCAAAGTACAATTTTCCTTAATCTGTAAAGAATACCTATGATTCAATTTGAAAAAGACCAGCAATCTAATAAACTTAGGCAAGGGCGTGAATAGACAGTTTAAAGAATAGGAACTTTGTTTTTTGGTTTTTTTTTTTAGTTAGTTTATTTATTTATTTATTTATCTTTCCCCCAAAGCCCCAGTAGATAGTTGTATGTCATGGTTGCACATCCTTCTAGTTGCTGTATGTGGGACACGGCCTCAGCATGGCCAGAGAAGCGGTGCCTCGGTGCATGCCCGGGATCCGAACCCGGGCCGCCAGCAGCAGAGCGCACGCACTTAACCACTAAGCCACGGGGCCGGCCCAGAATAGGAACTTTGAATAGCCCTTAAAAATATGAAAATATGTTCAACCTTACTCGTATAAAAAGAAATGTAAATTAAAACTATTAGGGTGTACCATGCTGTTAAGAATGGAGCAGCTCTGAAATAGTAATATGAACCAGTCTAAGATAAATTAAGAGAAAAACAAAATTCAGTTCAGTATATGAATTAATTATACTATATTTCATATTAAAAAGATACACATATATGTCTGTGTGCATTGGCTATCTCCAAAAGAATATATAAGAAACTACTTCTGGAGAGGGCATCTAGGTGGCTGAGGGGAGGAGTGAAGGAATCCTTCATTTTCTTCATATCTTTAAATTTTTTTTATTGCTGGTGCAACTGCCTTTTCAAATAATTAATTTTGGGGAAAATATTAAGTCATAGTATATTAAAATCTGTAAGGGACCTGTCCAAGCCGTTCCTTTTACAGCTGATTTATAATTGCCCTAGTGCTTCAGATCACAGAGCTGTTGGTTTCAGCCCAGGTCTCCTTTCATTATGCCAGTAGCTCTCAACTGGGCAAGCAGGTCTTCATAGGTATTGTCTTGATAACAAAGATCTCATCTCTCTTGTTCATTGTAGTATTCCACTTATGTAGCATATAGAAGTTACTCAGTAAATGTTTGAATGAATTAAACAGATTTAAGGTATTTATTAGTTTGTGGCATGATACAGGTGGAAAGTATTTCATCTTTATCTTTGAAAGAAGAATAAGTTTTTTTCTTTTGTTTCCTATTCTGGTGGAAAACTTATAAATGCGTTTGTTATAGTTTAGTTTTGATCTATCCAAGAAACATTTGTAAAGTTATAATTTGTTAATCATTTTTCAGACACTGGCTTCATGTCCTGTTGACCGAAAACCTTTTCAGGCAGTGTTTAAATTCAGTGCATTGGAAGGTTACGTTAAGGTAAGGCTTAGATTTTATTTTGCAACATGAACTGTATAAACTTATTAGTGATGATTTTGCTTTAATAGATTTCCAGTTTGAGTATATTTGTGAATTATTCAGTAAGGTTTAATATGTGATTATCACTCCTCCTCAGCCTGACAAGCCTAGACTTTTCTATAAGAATACAGAAATTTTAAACCTTTTTTTCTTTGCCCCCTACAGAGGACATATCCATGATGGTTACCTTATGATTTTCCACGAAATGTGTTAGATCTCTGATGCTCTAAAAGAAATTTCACATTAAGTATTAATTGCAGAATATTTAAATTTTTAGAATATTTTTAGCATGAGGACTTCTATATTTCAAAAACATTTATTGTGCTTTGAATACATTTTTCCATTGAAAAAATGTTTGAAATGGAGTATTAGATTCAAAGACCGACCCCCACAAAAACTTAAGTCCAAAATAACTGAAAATTATGTTTTCATGAAAAATATTATAATGTTGAGAAGATTAAGCCGATAAAGTTAAATATAAAATGGTGACTTCGTTCTTAAATGCTGGTACTTGAAGGAAAGTGAGTTTAATTGGAGAAGGGTAAGGGAAGTCGTGGAGATCTTGAGAGGGGCTTCGCACAGTTGCAGGGTTGGCATGGGCAGAAGACTTGATTGTTATATTAAGTACAACCTTATTGTAATGCTTAATCCTGATCACTTCCATGAGATGCACACACGTACTTCATTGATGTTACTTGTGATTATGAACCATCGTTATGATTTGTATTCACATTTATTTTTGGCTTACAAATAGAAGGAAAAAAGAAATAAGAACATATTCCTGAGGTAATGAGTAAAAAGCAAAAAGAGAAGTGGGGAGTCAGTAGTTAAGTATAATCCATGAGAAAGAGATTTCTTGAGGTATCACTAACAAGTCACAAGTGATGTATAGCTAAAAATGAGAATACTCAATATATACATACATGATGCCATTGATGGGAAAAACAAACTGTTCCTAGGTAGCACTATAAGTCCATGACAGCTTAGTTGCTGTCTGTGTGAGTAGCAAGGGGTATGGAAGCAACATACAACTATTTAAGCATTAGATGTTCTCAGCATAGGTATTTGTAATTTGTTTTGATGTATTTCTACCAGATGAGTGTTGCTGACATAAGGTACAAATGAGACTGTAATTCAAATAAAATGACGTGTAAAAAATGATCTTGTTTGTTGTAAGTGTGGAACTCTGGACATTTATGCACATCAGTATATATCTTGGAGAAAAGATATAACATTATATAAATATGTGATATTAAAATCAAAATTAAAGCATAGCTTCTCTGAAAGACATGTTCTCTGTTTTTCCAGACTCTATATATTATGTTGCTAAAGATGGATTAGCATGAACTAGCTTCCAAAGATATTTTCCTATAAAATTTTGTTCTGTTGCTTGGAATAAAAATTTACGTTTTATTTAATAGGGTTTGTACTTTATTTAAATTAAAAGTTTGGTGCAGTGTCAGTCTAATTTTGTCAAGCTTAAAAGGTATTTATCATATGTGATATTATCCACATACTCTTAATATCTTTCTTTGACCTTTACTTCTTTTAAATCTTCACTTGATTGTCCTTTTCCCTTTACAGCTAAACTTGAATAAGACATCTATACTTGCTTACTCCCTTTTCTCAATTACTTTTCAACTCCCATTGAACATTTACCTCTATCATTTTATTTTCCTAAAACTGCCCTCACTAAGGTCCAGAATAATCTTCTGACTGGCCATCTCATGGTTTGTTTTCTTCATATAATGCTGTTGACTGCCCTTTACTTCCTTTGGCTTCTAGGACATCCTTTTCTTATGGGTATGTATGTATGTACGTTTGTTTGTTTACTTATCTGACTTTTCGCAATCTGCTTTGCCATGTCCTTGCCCTCCTTCCCTTTTCTTAAATCATTGGGGCTCCTCATGGGATCTTCCTTTCAATTCTTTGGTTATGCTTTCTCCCTAAGTCTTCTCAACTACTTCAGTAGCTTTAACCACTACCTGTATTTGTATGGCTTTTAAAATTCTGTTACTAGCCCAGATCTCTTTCCTTAGAACCAGACTTGTATTTTCAACCACTTATTGGACATCTCCATCTAGAATACCAAAAGAATCTAAACATTAACAAATCCAAAACTTATCTGGGAGTTTTCCATTTTTTCTCTCTCTCTCATCTTTGCCTGTTCCTTCTGGGCAGTGACTTAAATTTGTTCCGTCTTCATTCCTCTGCCTGTTAACCTTTTTGTAGGCCCTTATGCTGTCATCTAGACCAGTTCTGCCAGTAGAAGTATATACTATAATTTAAAATTTTTAGTAGTCACATTAAAAGAGTAAAAAGAAACAGTTAAAATAAATTTTATAGTGTATTTTATTTAACCCAACATATCTAATGTATTATTTCAACCTGTAATATTTTTAAAGAATTATTATTGAGAGATTTTACCTTTTTTTGTTGTTATTGTTCTAAGTCTTTGAAATCCAGTGTATATTTTAAACCTTACAGTACATCTCAGTTCAGACAAGTCACATTTCAAGTGCTCAGTAGCCATATGTGGCTAGTGACTGTTGTCTCAAAGTGTAGATCTACACTATTGTAAGAACTTTCTTCTGGTTTCTTGGCTTTTATAGTCTCTCCTTAACATTCTCCTCATCACTGCCAAAGTTATCTAAAAAAAAAATTTGATCATCTCATTCACTTTAAAAACCCTATTTGTTCTCTGATTCCTATAGAATTATTTTCTTATTTGAGGCCTTTTACAATTTGGTTCTAATACATCAACTTTATATCCTGCTAATCTTTTCTTCCCCATCTGCACTGGCTTCTCACTGTTCCTTGTAACTGTGTTCTTTGCTCCATTTAGAGTATTTTTTCCTGAGACAAATTTCTACTCATTCTTTAAGACCAACTCATAAATCATTTAGTCGTGAAAGTCTTCTCTGATATCCTCAAATAGAGTTAATTTCTCAGTCCTACACGGGAACACAGGTCTGTGGTCATATCTCTGTTATGAGCACTTAATCTATTTTTATGCCTGTCTCGCACTATTTTGTTTCAAACCCTTATGGTTTAGCATGCTTGAATGAATAAGCATATGTGTTTGGGCTATACTTCCTTTCAGACAAGTTTGTTGCTTTAATTTTTTATCCTTTCAAGGGAGATTTGAATAGTTATCATTTGTGATGATGGATTATCACTTTAAATAGGTGATTTTGCTTTTCTCATAGGTTCAAGTAAAAAGACAGTTGAGAGAAACAAAAGAAAAGAAAAATGAAAGCTCTTTTAAGAAACAGCTCTCCTGTCATGAAAATTCTAAAAGCTGTATGAGGTTAGTGGTGAACTTTAGAAGTGGAATACAAATGTGTAGAACCAGAAAATAGCTAGTAAAAAAAAAAAGAGTACTCTTAATTATGTGGAGTTTAAATGTATTTAATTACTTCTTTTAAAGCACACACTTAAAAATATAAGGAAGGATCAGCTGAAATCCAAGAATATAATTTGAGCCCTATCTTTGACGAATTGGTCTTTTTAGTTTTCTTCGAGATCTGTTTTAGATCGATATTTTTGTAAAATAAAAATGGTATGGCAGTGTAAACTTGGTATAAAATTTTCTGAATGCTTACTCATTTTTGTACATATTACAAACCAATAATGGATAAGCTCTGGTGCATAGACCATATTCTTGTAGCACCACTCTAGTATTTATGGACAAAAAGTAGAAAGTAACTAATGATAGAGCACAGCATTCTTCATGAGACAGTTGTAATTGAAACTACTTATTATCTTTCTCGTTATCTTTCTCATTTTGCTTCTTCATATTGTAGCAGACACTTGCTACCTACTATAGCAAATGTTTATGTTTTAAAATTTTTTTTAACATGTTTGGTTTTGTTTCTTTAACTGCTATTGTTAAAACATAATTGCCTAGAAATAGTGCTTAGTACTTGAGTTTAACAGATTAATTTAACATGTTTTTTGAACTAAATTGAGTTAGTAGAATACCGGAAATTAATTTATTAATAATACTTAAAATAACTTTTTCTTATACATTTAAAACTCAAGCCCATTTTGATCTGAAATATATTTAGAGCTGTCCAAAAGTTGTATTCTTAAGTCAATATATTGTCAAATTCATAATTAAATCTATGATTCATAAGTACATTTAATCAGAATACTAATTTCTTAGGAGAGTAAATTTATTTAGTTACCAAAAGAGTTGACAGTAGTCCCTGAGATTTATTGAATCATGCCACTAATTTATAACACTGTAGATCTTTAGATCTTGACTTCTGGGAAGTTATGGACTTCTTTGAGAATCTGAAGAAAGCTCTAGACATCTTCTGCCAGAAAAACATGTCATAAAACATACTTACAGATAAAACTTTGTATGTGATTCTAAGATTCATGGAATACCCACTCCAAGAGCCTACCCATAAACCCAAGTCAATACCTGCATTAGAACAAATTTTATTTACATTTTCTTTTAACTGTATCTGAGTCAGCTTGATTCTTGCATTTATATTTACATAGTAGATAGCACACTTTTCCCAGGCATAATGAAGAAATACCTTTTGGGTCCGGCCGGGTGGCGTAGTGGTGAAGTTCATGCGCTCCACTTCGGCGGCCTGGGGTTCATAGGTGCGGATCCTGGGCACAAACCTATGCTCAAGCCATGCTGTGTCAGGCATCCCACGTATAAAGTAGAGGAAGATGGGCACGGATGTTAGCCCAGGGCCAATCTTCCTCAGTAAAAAGAGGAGGATTGGCAACAGGTGTTAGCTCAGGGCTAATCTTCCTCACCAAAAAAAAAAAAAGAGAGAAAGACCTTTTGCTAGCTTCATTCTTGATATAGCTCCTATCACTGGCTGTGACAATGTCATGGATATGAATTTTTGTGCTGTCTCAGAATTACCCCAGTGCTCATGCCTCTTGCTGAGAGTGCAGTGATCATTACCTGTAACAGAGTGATACAGCGGGTCTAACACAGTTGAGGTAGTCCACATGCTTAACTGCTTTTTCTCAGGGAATTTGTGGTAGGGAGACAGTGTAGGGAAATAACAGATGCAAAATAATAATTTGCTTTTGTCCACGAAGTCAGACCCTTAATGATTTCTCCCAAGGTAGAAAATCTGTCAGCTAGTGGATATTTACAGTACCTTCTTTTTGGAGTATTTTGGATATTTTTAGCATTCTTCCCATTCAGTCTTACGTTTGTTGCATATAGCTAGTTTCTCCGGCACTTAGATGATATCCATTCAGTGTTGCCTCTCCCTTCTAAAGCAGTAAAACTCTGACACCACTCTCTTTTTCATGCTTTCTGACAGTTCCAGGGAAGGGGATTGTGATGATATATTGTGTCTTGGTAGTGGACCTCCACTGTAAGTCATTGGAGTGGAGGGTGGCAACTAGTCATGCTTCCTTTGCTAGAATTTAAAACTCAATGTATAATAGATTTCATTTTGGTGAGCAGTAAATTGAAAATAAATGAGCAAAATGACAGTTTTATCTTATTTCACCTCTTTATTGATGTTTACAGAAAAAAAGTCATAAGAGAAGATCTATTAAGTGCAAAACTTTATGACTTGAAGATGATACATAGTAAGTGACTTTTTACTTGTGTTTTCTACCTTTTTGTATCTCTTAATTCAATGCTTGTGCTAAAGCTCTTATTTGTAATGTTTTGGTTTGGAAAATAGTTGTGCACAGAACTCTACTGAGCTCTGTACCTTGTGTTCAGCCCTACATAAACTGCTTTCATGGAGTCATTTATGCTGTTCCTTGCCCTTTTTCTTTTTATCCTCAGCTTGGAGAAAGGAAGATGAGAGTGAGTGAGAGTGTGTGTATCTGTGTGTGTTGAGAAAGAAAAAGGAGAAAAGAGTGTTTTCCAGTTACTTTATGGTTAGCAACATACCTTGTGGTCTTACTCTACTCATTAGTGCAGAAGTCCTTAGGGGAGATGGGATAAAATACCTTGTGGGCCAGTAACTGTAAGCAGTAGCAAGGGAAGTCTGTGACAGTGAGAAGTGAATTCCCAGTTCCCAGAGGAAGTTGTGGTTTGGCCTCTAGCCACACTTCTAATTTGAAACTTTGGAAATAAAGCATATTTATCTTACGTATTTATCTACATGAGCAGTTAAATATTCTTGTCTTTTGTTCTTGTCTAGTGCATGGTTCTGTAATACAAGAAAGCTTTGCAGCAGGGCCTGAGAAAAATGGCAGTATAGTGCTTTGTGACTCCTCTTTGGAGCTCAGGCTGTTTATTCTGTTCCAAAGAACAACTTACTATGAGCTGTTTGTAAGCGAGGAGGTGAGCATTTATAGGCTAGGTTAAAATAAATTTCTATTTATAGTTAAAAATAATGAATTTGTTGTTCTTAAAGTAAATGATAATCAACTTCATTTTTTTATACATTAAGAATACCAAGTTTGGTGGTTGTTATTGATTCTTCTGATTGGAATTAACATCTCTCAGGTTTATAGATCCTCAGATTTATAGATTAAATGCTCTGCCTTAGGTAATTTACTATTAAGGTGAAATTGCGCTAAAAAGACTTTAATGGTTAGATAGGCATTTTTCTTTTGTTAAAGAACTTTTGATACCAAAACTTCTTTATTTTTCTATGTCGTTGCTGTAGATTAGCATCCTTTTTTATGGATAGCCGTTCCTTGGTAACTCTAGGATCTGATATAAAGTTTACTGCTGAGGAAAATCAAATAGTGTTACAGATTTTCTCTAGGTGTTAGGCCCGCTCTCACTATGTTAATTTTACTTTTAAGACTACTGTAATTTTCTTTAAGTATATATCTCCTGCCTGGATTCATTTTTAGAGAGAGAAGCATAGGCAAATCTTAAACCTCTAGTGCTTCACTGTAGTGAAGGCCATTTATAAGAATCTGCAACTCATTCGGATTTGAGAATTTGTTTCACTATTCAGAGTATGAAATACTAAATAAGTTTTTAGTGGACATCCTAAGCCAATTTAACATTGAAGAGCTAATTTTTAATTATAGTTCTTAAAAAAAGAAAACTATTCCTGCGAGAAGATTAACATTGTCCAAGGCCTGTAACCTAATGCCATGTCTACTTAAGATGCCTGAAATCATTTGGTTAGGATAGGCAGAAATACTCATTATACTTTGAGTATACTCTCATATACTTTAATACAAGAGTACTAATACCCAGATAATTATGAGCAAATGTCTTAACTGAACGAGTCTGGCTCGATTTGTGGGGTACTGGATACTTATTGATTACCCATTTAGTTAGTTTTTCTATGATGTTGCTTTTTACTTGGGGAGTTTAATATATCTAACATGGCCAGTTTTTCTTCCTGCATTGAAATAGATTATGTATTTGATGAAATAGCTTGTATTTAGGTATCGCATTTAATGAAAATTACTCAGGTTTAAATTCTAAATCCATACTCAGTACATAATACTCGTTTGAGATGTTCATACTAGGAGAGCAAAAGGCAATTGAGATCCACTCATTCATTCAAGAAGCTATGCCAAGCACAGTTCTAGGCTCTTAGGGGTATAGTAGTGCACAAAAGAGACAAATTACTGGCTAACAGAGAGTATCTTCTGTGGACAAAAAAAGATAAATGTACAGTATGACAAGTGGTGATAAGTGCTTTAAAGAAGAATAAAGCAGAGTAAAGAGATAAAGGGTGATGACATTTTGGAAGTGATATTTTATATAAGGGGTCAGGAAAAGCTTCTTGGATAAGGTTATATTAGAATAGCAATCTAAGAGAAGTAAGGGATTAAGCCATAAAGACATCTCAGGGAAAAGTGTTCCAGGTGAGGGAACAGCAAGTGCAGAAGCCCTGAGACAGAAGCATTCTTGGTATGTTCAAGGAATAGCATGGAGGTCAGTATGACTAGAGTGAGTTATGATGTAATGGAGGAGGAAGAGTAAGACATTGGTGGGGAGGCCTGTTGTGGTGAAAAGCATTTTTAGGGATAGCATAGTCTGACATACTATTCAAGGATCACTCTTGCTGTTAAGGGGAGAATAGATCTTAGGAAGACAAGAGTCTCATAGGAAGACTGAGAGACTAGTTAGGTGGCTGTTTTCCAGGCTACAGATTGTGGTGGCTTGGGCCAAGAAGGTATTAGTGGAGGTGGTGAGAAGTGGTTCAGTTCTGTATGTGTTGTATTTCAAAGGTGAAATTAACAGGATTTGCTGATGGATTGAATGTGGCGTATAAGAAAGATGGAAGTCAAGGTTGACTCTAAGGTCTTGGCCTGAGCATCTGTTAAAATGGAGTTGCCAGCTACTGAGATGGGGAAGGCTGGTAGGAGAATGTTTTGGAGTTCTCTTTTGGATGTGTAAATGCCTATTCTACAACCAAGTAGAGATGCTGTGAGGAAATATGGATGTTTATATGTCATATGCAAATAAGATCTATTCATCTTCAGATTATTTTAGTGGTGATTGGTTGATGTTGATATATGTATTTGTGCTTGGCTCTAAGTTTAAATTGCTGGTTTCTTCCAGTTGTCATTTCTTTCCCCACTCTTGAGTTCAGGCAAAAAATGTTTAAGACCATGTGAGAAATAAGACTGGAAAGGAAGTTTCAGGTCATCCTAGAGAGTTTTGATCAATAAAGCTAAAATTTATGCATATTATCTTATGAGGAGTAAAGCTATGCAAGTAGTAGATACCATTAAAGGTTTTTTCCAGTGGGATACAATGTGGTGAAACCATTTTAGGAAAACTAACTTGGTAAAGGTATTCCAAAAAGATGGGAAGCCAAGTACCTGTTAGAAAATTTCTAAAGTTGTCTCTGTCTTCTGAGGTGGTGTTTCTTTTTGTCTTTATAACTCATTTAGCACACCCTTATTTGATCAATTCTGAAAATCCATTTTTTTCAGATTCTAACATCTCTGAAATGGGATTCTGTCATATCACTTGCCCTGTATGATCACAGTTGGCCAAGCAGCAGTAGTTGTCACTGCCTGCGAATGTACGAACACACAAAGTGGTGTTATCATTAAATTTGAAGAATGGATAGCAGAAGTTTAGAAGAAAATCCATAGATAATTGTGGACCACTCTAGACACCTACTTGAGAGTGGGAGAATTGGGAGAAATTAATCAGACATGTGTGCCATCATTCCCAAGAGAGTCAAAAGTTGGCTGATTCTACATACCTAATTGCAAAGCTGGTATAAGAGTCCAGCACCAGTGATCTAATTCTTTTATGGATTTCCTGAAGAAACCACCACTGTTCTTGATAGCACAGAAGATGATATTGTGTGAAAAATGGTCACTGACAAACTCAGGAGTTGAAAAGGAATTAGAAAAAGTTGAATTCTGCATGTAAAGAAGTTTTATGAATACCTTAATCAATTTATTATACCTGTATATTCATTTTTATTTATGATTTGCTTTAAACACAGAAAAAGAACTATGCTTAGATCTGTATTAGTTTCCTAGGGCCAATGTAACCAGTTACCACAAACTTAGTGTTTTAAACAACAGAAATTTATTTTCTCACAGTCTGGAGGTTAGAAGTCTGAAGTCAAGTTGTTTGTAGACCCATGCTCCCTCTGAAGGCTCTAGGGAAGAGTTCTTCCTTGCCTCTTCCTAACTTTTGGTGGCTCCTGCCAATTCCTAGCCTTCTTTGGCTTATAGCTGCAATGCTGAAATGTGCCTGTCTTCACATGGCCTTCTTTGTGTCTCCCTCTATATCATTTTCTGTCTCTGATAAGGATACTCATTGGATTTAGTACCCACCCTAATGCAGTATGATCTCACATCAGTCTTAATTGCATCTGCCAAGACCCTATTTCTAAATTCTGAGGTTCCACGTGGACATGAATTTTGGGGGGGGCACTTTCAACCCACTACAAGGTCAAAAAGAGCTCTTTCAATAATTATAAAATAAAATATCTAAATGATAGGAAACACTGTGACCCAACCCTGTGCCCAGATTGTGTTCTCTAAATAACATTTCCCAATAAAAGAACCAGGGCTTATTGACATAAATGACTGATTCCAGGTTTGAGTTAGTAGATAAGTAAGATGTGCCTAGAACATTTTTTCTAACAGATAGCAAGGAAGCTTTCAAAGACTACTAGGATCATAACATGAAGTCTCAGGAATCAACTTGATTGGGCTCCCTCTAGCCCAAAATGGGACAGTTTAAGCAGCAAGAAGGCTAAAATAACTACAGTTATTGAAACTTCTCAGATATGTTTAAGTCCATGAGTTCATCATGCTACCTTATAAGTAAACAAATAGATAAACTAATTAGTCTGTTTTGGAGGATGCCAGAAAGTTAACTCATTTTGAAAACTGATATATAAAAGGAAAGATCGAAGCATCTATCTTGCCTTTCCTAAATAAACTATACATCAGGATAATTGAACAGGTAATAAAGGAAAGTTAAGTTTTTTAGAAGTATTTCAGCAAATAATTTAAGTTGGAATTATAGAATTTGAATATCAGTGTTTTGTAAACTCTAATGAATTAATGGATCTAGGCAGTGATCAGTAGTGGCTGTTAGCATCACAGAAGGAAAGACAGCCAAACATTAAACACCTCCTTAAGGAAGTAAATAATAACAAATATGCTGTCATATGACCAAC